TTTGAAATCTGACAAACTTTTTGTCACTGTTCTGGTAACTTTCAATGCTCCAGCTGGTGTCTGGATCCTGTGCCTGGGATCCAGGAACTGAGAAGAATAAACACTGCATTTCTTTCCTCCTTAAATGTTTTTTTGCCTGTTAGTATGGCTGTTAATCTGTATGATGATAATTTATAAAGGCTTATGAAGTGAATGAAAGAATGAATCTGATATTGGCAAACATTTTTCAAAGGGGCTGAGGAGAAGGAGACAAATATAATTGAGATGTGTTATGTACACGTAATTCCCCTCGATCAATGGAATTATTATGTAGTACAATCAGGTACTAATAACAATTAAAAGTTTAAAAAATATATGAGGGGAGGGACTTTGAAATATCTACAGAGCAAGGACACAATCTCCTCTAATTTGGTCATGGAAATAATACTTTGCCCAATTTGCATATAGCCAGAATCAATGGCAGCTTCTAGAGCTCAGGGTCTCAGGGAAGCCAGGTAAAAAAGTTTCCTCTTGCATCAGTGAGGCAGATGGAAATAATTTTCTGGTTTAAAGCCAATCATTCACTCTGCACAGACTCTATTGTCTTGGGCAGTTCTGTCTCAGCAGTATAACCCAGATGTAGGCAAGGCCAAACCTAAAGCACAATCCATGCCAGTGGCATTCCAAAGGCCTCCTGAGACTTCTGGGTATTCCCTGAAGGGACTTAAATGCTCTAACCCACCTCTGCTTCTTGAATTCTATATGCAAAAGTGCTTGGCTCACAGTTTGTTGATCCAGACATAGCGCCCAGTTTTGTCCCCAGTTTCTACCAAGAGTTCATGTGCAAAGTCATTTGTAAGAATAAAATGTAGTACCAAAGAGTAGGAAGTCACAGAGAAAGGTGAGGTTATGTCCCATAAGACAAATTACAATCTAGTCAAGACTTATAAAAAAAATCCCATATGGCACATGCTTATAAAAGTCCTGTTAGCCCATCGATTCTGAGCTAAAAGTTTTACTCACTTGCATTTCTCCCTGTTCAGCATCCAGCCTTCCATCTTCTCTCTCCCTCTCTTCTGCTGCATCCCTCTCAGGAAAAGAGAGTGAAATCTCCAATACTGGTTAAGATTACAAGGTATCAAATATGTGGGCTGAAAAGGTGAGGTGTCTGACCACGCAACAAATCCCGCCTGCCCCAAGACATTCAGGTTCAAACATCTCTCAGCACTGCGTCCTACTAAATTCTTCTGCAGACCACGTGGCCTGAAAGCTGTCACTTTAAGGGCATCGACTCTGCAGACTCCCACTTTGCTATAGCCAGCCAAGACAAACAACAGAGACCCCAAAACAGGAGCTAGCAAGGGGTCTCTCCCCTGCCACATGTTTGTCCTGAAACCTGACGAGGCTAGAAGTGCCTAGGCACCGTCATTCCATACGTTGGACATGTAAGGGTAAGGGAGCCAAGCAATGGGAACACTTGGATTCAGAGATGCGATTGCTAGGATTCACCACTGTGCCCACTAACCTCTGCCTGAATAGCCTTTATTTTTTATTGTGGCAAAATATAGGTGACATGAAATTGCATTTTAGCTATGTTTAAGTTCACGGGTCACGTTGTTGTATAACCATCATGAACACCCATCTCCACAGCTTTTGATCACTTCCAACTGAAACTCTGCACTCATAAAACAATAACTTTCCATTCCCCCTGTCAACCACCCTTCTTTCTATTCTCATGAATTTAATTCTTCTAGGTGCCTTATGTGAATGGAGTCACACAATGTCGGTCTTTTTTGCGTCTGACTACTTTCACTTGGCACGTTAGTCTCAGGGTTCATTCATGTTGTCGCATGCATCAGAATCGCCTTCATTTTTAAAGGTGAATGGTATCCCATTGTATGTATACAGCACCTACTGTTTATCCACCAATGGACATTTGGGTTGACTTGGGGAGTGATGATGCTGCAAACACCAGTATGCAAATATCTACTCTAGTCTATGCTTTCGATTCTCTTGTGTATTTACCCAGAAGTGGAATTCCTAGATCAAACAGTAATTCTATGCTTTATATTTTTTACAACTGTGCCTGCCTGTGTATCCTTCATCCATGTATCACTGAAACTTACCTACAAAACAAGGATAATAGGGCGGGGATTTAGCTCAGTGGTGCTGTAGCCTGCCTCGCAAGAGCAAGGTCCTGAGTTTGACCCCCAGTACCAAAAAAAAAAAAAAAAAAA